CCCCTGCTCCCTGTCTTTGTGCTAAGCTAACAGTTCCCCCCTTTTCCCAGTCTTTGTGCTAAGCTACCAGTTCCCCCTGCTCCCTGTCTTTGTGCTAAGCTAACAGTTTCTCCTGCTCCCTGTGAGTTCACAGACTACAAGCTGTTTGGTCTGATCTTTGTTTCTGTGCTCAGCGGCTCCTGCCTGTGTGTCCAGCAGATGGCGCTCTCTCAGATCACGCCCACCCTGTTCCTGGGCGGGGCCGACGCCCCCCTAAACGCTGCGATGATGTCACAGAAAGGCATCACCCTGATTGTCAACGCCACGCTGAGCCACGCCTGCCCCGCCTACCCAGGGGTGGAGTTTGTGCGGGTCCCGGTGTCCGACCTGCCCAGCGCCCGCCTCGGCGACCACTTTGACCGCGTGGCCGAGCGTATCCATGGTAACCGCGCGGGAGGCACGCTGGTGCACTGTGCCGCCGGCATGAGCCGCTCGCCGGCGCTGGTCATGGCGTATCTGATGCGCTTCAGAGGCGTGACATTGCGGCAGGCGCACCGCTGGGTGCAGGACAGTCGGCCCTTCGTCCGGCTCAACGCCGGCTTCTGGGAGCAGCTGCTGCAGTACGAGAGGAAGCTGTACGGAAAGAACACCGTCCGGGTGGCGGCCGCCGAGGAGCCGCCGAGGACGCCACGGATGACGAGGGCGCTGCCGCCTCAGCAGCAGAGCAGCTGGTTGGCCACGGTACCGCGCTCACCTCTGACGGCTCGGTCTCAGGGGCTGACGTCATCAAACAGAAGAAGAGGATCCAAATCCAGCAGCACCAAAGTCTGACGAACGGCTCCCTGCGTCCACACCTTCACCTGTTGTCCTACAGAATCTGCTGGTCCTGGTTCTGACCAGAGACTCAGTTCAGGTTCTGGAACAATGTGAAGATGTTTCCTCTCAGACCAGGTGGGTCCAGGTTGTGGTTCCAGGTTGTGGGTCCACAGTTTGATCAAATATGAACTAAAATCTAAACGCAACATTAAATGTTTCTGACTCAGAGAAAAGGTTAAAATCACGTTTGTTCTGCTAAGGAAAGGTTCAGTTTCACAGCAGAGAGATTCTGATCTGATCCAGGTCTGCTCAGGTGAGTCTTTACAGAATCAGAACCACAAAGGACCGAGGTGCTGGACGCTGCAGGTCAGTTCAGCTCTGAGTGAACGGAGAGCTGCTGAGTGGGGCAGGATTTTACCTTCTATCCTGGATTTACAGGGAGCCTCCTGATAATCAGAATTAGTCCGAACTCAGAGGACCAGAACCACCTGCTGGTCTGTGATAATAGCAGATTACCAGGTGATGCAGCTCGGTCCCCGTCTCCCCAGCAGCCCGTCCTCACCAACAACCAAGCAGTGGAAATAGTGGACCGTTTTAAATACCTCAGCTTTGACCAGCACAGCACGGACATCCAGACCAGAAGCCACCAGAGACTCTCAGCCATCCGTAAACTAAAAGGACTTTGTGTTTCCCTCCTTCTCCTTCTGCTGCTGCATCAGAGCATCATCCAGTCCATCCTCCTGTAGCGCTCCACCTGCTTCTACAACAAGCTCACTGTTACAAACAGAACCTAACTCATAACCACCACAGCCTCCAAAGAACCCGTCTTCCCACCAGACCTCACAGAGCTGAACAACGGCACAGATACACAACACTGAGATGGAGACGAGCTGGAGCAGGCAGAAGCATGGCGCCGTCCATCAGAGCAACCCTTAACAACAGGCCAAGGCGACTGGACAGAGTCTGTGTGACCCGTGTGTCCTGTTCATGTGAATCAACAGAATGGTGCTGTGGAAAAGAACCTCCCCACCGGGACAATAAAGTCGAAGTCTGAAAGTAAAGATTCTGCCTCCTGTGGAAACATCCGTTCTGTGTGAGTCTTTGTGAATAATGTTGGTTTTTATGTCTGTGACGTCCCTCAAAGACGCTGCTGCTGTGAACACCAGAAATCAAAGCTCTGAGTTTGTCTGATTTAGTCGATTTCAGAGTATCAGTCACTTTATCTAGCTGCTGTCAAATCATGTAGTTTGGAGGTTCTAGTCGTTTCATATCTGGGAGATGATCAGGCAGACGACCAGCAGGACTCTGAGGAATCTGAAACTGAGGATCAGTGTTCTTAAAAGTGTATCTTGTCCTCACTCACAGTGATCTCATAGTTTGGTTTGTTTCAGACTAATGGATACAAGAGTTTGAGCAGAAGGTAAAGAAGTTTGATAAAAGTGATAAACAATAGTGGACATTTTGCACAAAAATAAATAATAATGATAATGAATAAACATGCCGGTGCTCATTGTGAACGAAAAATTACTTGGACTTAAGGTTCCAGAGACGGTATCGAACTTTTCCCCTTTGCTCCTCTGACTGACCCTTCATGTCACTTTCTGTGACTTCCTAGTGAGGATTAGGCAGTGAATGGATGATGGATGTAGAGAATACAGATGTTCTCCGTCTTTTGAGACCTCAGTACATCTACCCTCT